TAGTCCCGTCGTCCTTTGAAAACCATTTTTTACCTAGTTCCGCTGGAATTTGTACTGTTCAAAAGCTTCGTTGCGGTTTGTTTTGAAAAACTTCTTCCAAAGCTTTCATTTCTTATTGATCTCTCCTTTGAGATCTGTTTTCAGCCATTGAGGTCGGCTAGATTCACGCCTTAAATCCGTCTTAAATCATGGACGCCAGTCCTAGACAACATTTTCCAAGTGGTGCCGAAAGAATACCGTGGGCTTTTGCCCAAAAGTTCTTTGTCTATCTGCAAAAACCTTTGTCTCAGCGCAAATAATACATGTGTCGCTAAGTAATACCCAGCAGTACTCTGGAGATCGGAATGACTAGACTTGCTATTCCTGTTCGGTATCGGGAACACGTTATCTGAAACTTGAATGATACAAAATTAGCTCATGGTGATCCATCGTGCGGTTCAGAAAGCCATGTTTTTTGAGTTTGTGTGTAAAAGTAAATACCTCCTAAAGAAGGCGTTTTGTGATTGATATATAAACGATAACGGCCACTTACATTTGAACAAATACGCTTTCTTCATAAATGCCTCCAGCACTTTCTGAAATGATGAACACCGGAATCTTTTAACAAAAGGCGATGATGTTTGCACGAGGAAACTCGAATAGACAAGAGCGCGTCTGAAATATGTCAACTTCAAAAATATTTTTTGAGCATAGCTCATTAAAACAACTCAGGCCGCGGGCGCTATCAGCAGCACTAGGTCGATCGACCTTGAACCGTTCGCTGCGTATTGGGCGCGGTTGCGGTAGGTCGTAACATGGAGAATGTGTTCCCTAAGTTCGCAACATCCCTCTATAAAGAACTAAGAGCTATATTAGACGATGAAATAGACGGAGTATCCTTGGAGTTAAATGAACAAGATCTGACTGATCTCAAGGTGCCTTGTGCTTATTATAATAAGGTCACCTTAACTAATTTAGGTGTCCGTAGTGGGTCCGAGGGATACGCCCTTTGAAAATGGCATCTTTCTAATAAGGCTGCTTATACCCACAAATTACC